GGTGAGGATGTTTCAGAGCCACATGAACTGGCAGAACTGAGAGAGCAGGGGATGCTTTCTGGCCCATGAGCTTACCTTGTTTTTGGGGGAAATGTCAACGTAGACTTTGCTCTGCGACGCCAGAGGACACGTGTCAGTCAGCGTGCGAGAGAACATCTTAAACAAGGACCAGTCTGTGGGAAGCAAGGTCAGCTGGCAGGTCAAGTGCTGCAGGCTGGGAGCACTCCAGCACAGCACCACGCTTACCTTTCTTTCCTTGGCCACTGGAAAAGAAGTCAAAGACCACAGTGAGGGTCTGTCTGAGCTCCCAGGACAGAGCCAGGCAGGAGGCATCCTGGACAAGAGACAAGCAGTTCTGATCACACCTTCTGGAGGGGGAGGACACCAGGATGGAGCTGGACCTCCACCAAGATTACAAGATTTCCATTGGGGTTACCAGAGAAGGAGGATGACAGCTGTGTTAGACACAGTGAACCCATCACAGGGTAGCTGAGCAAACCACTGTGATACCTTGCAATGTGACAAGGGGGCTTTGGATTTTCTCTTGGGGGAAGGAGCTCAGCCAGCACTTACCCTGCAGATGGGGCGGATGTGCACTGCCTGGGAGTGGTAGCTGCTGTGGAACAGGCGCTCAGCCTTCAGCAGCACAGCCAGCCCAGCCTGCAGGGAACAGGAGAAACTCAGCCCTGCCCTGTCCTCTGCTCCCACCGAGAGAAAGCCCTGAGGGAACCTCCCAGTGCATGCTCCCACATTGCTGCTGGGAGCCCAGCTCCATCAGGAGTGGCCCCATTGGGCAGCAGGACTTCTCTTTACCTTTGAGCCACATGGCAGCAGCTTCTTCCAGGGGGTGAGGTTCTCTGTGCAGACAACTTCCCTGGGCAGGACAGCGTAACGCAGGAGATGGTGATCTGTCCCTGGGCAGGGAGAGGGAGGAGAGCAGGCTGGGATTGCTACAGCCACGAGCACAGCAGCAGTGTTCCACCCCCAGTGTGCCCCACATCCCAGCACCCTCAGAGCATGCCTGAAATGCAGTGAGCTCCACCAGAACTAGATCCCACTCTGTTCAGAGTGATTGGAAAGAATGGTAAGGATACATCCTAGCAGATCTTCTTTTGTGAGTGCCTTAAATCCTGTGGTCCCCACTGTTTCATAAAACATTTTTTATAGAGTCAAGTAAGGGCTTGAGAGCACCTGCCATGTATTATTTGTGACTTTCCTCTGTTTAAATCCAAGCCTTGTTTGTAGGGAGAGGAAATCCTTCCTGGGAAGGGTTAATGGATGCTGTCGTACACACCCAGACCCAGAGTCATTGCAGGACCTGCACGTGGAATGCTGGCAGTGGCACAGGGCAGAACTGAAGTGAGAGAGCAGAGCCAGGCTCACCATTGGCCAAACCCAGGGGTTTGAAGGATGCTGTTGGAATCACTGTGTTGGTCGAGTCAATGAAGTTGAGAGAAGCACAGAATATTCCCGAAAGGATGTTACTCAGTTCTTTCCAGGCTTTGTCAACACTGTGTGAGAACAGACACCAGAGATTACTCAGCAGCTCAAATCCTTGAAACAACAAGTGTTAAGTCAGTAACATTCAGAAATGACCACACTGGGTTACCAAAGCTGCATGGAGTATGCAGAGAGACTGCTGGGCTGGCATTCTCCAGCTCTCTTGGTATTTTATTCTGACACATCAGATCTGAGGGACACACAGCAGGGCTTCACAGGCATCACACAGCCAAGGGACAGGGTGGTGGTCACAGCTGGTATGTGAGGAGAGAGGCCAGGGGAGCTGGGAGCACAGAGGAGGTGATATGTGTGAATGGGGAAGGGGCTGTGAGGCCCACAGCAATGCCTTGGTGCAGCTCCAAAGGCTGACCCGACCAGCAGACAAGGGATGGGACACTTGCAGGGAGGAGAGGGCTCTGTGAGTCCCCACAGGGCTGGTGTGCTCAGGGAGATGGTGACAGGTACTGGATGGGAGTCAAAGGAAGTGAGTCATGGATGAGAGGCCAAGATACAGCCCCACTGTATTAGCGCAGCAAGGGTCCTGCAATCCACCCTGAACCCTCATCCCCCATGCTGTTTTACCCCAATGACACACACACCCATTGCTTGGTTAGATCAGTGTTATTTCTCTCTGTGCCATCGTTAAGTGCTTGTCATCACAGAGCCCACAGGGGAATTACTTGGGCCTTTAATGAACAGGGATTTGCCCTCAGCACCACATCCTGTCCCCATACAGATGGGGTATGTTCTGTGGGTTTTTAGAGCTACTCCTGGGCTCTTCTTTCCAGCAGACATTTTTCAACCCAGGAGGCCCACTCACACACCGTGGCTGCCTCAGGAGGGACAAACAACCGCTCCTGGGAGCAGTGGCCACAGAGGGGACCCAGAGGGACAGGTCCATGGCTGGGGTACCTACTCGGTGACCGTGGGCTGGAACCAGACCCAGAGCTCAGCGCCAGCGGGTGCCTGGAGGGGCGGCTGCCCCCAGTAGCGTGTGCGCCAGAAGCCCTGGGTGAGCGCGAGGTGCAGCTCCCGCACGCCCAGCGCTGCCACCAGCCGCCCCAGCGCCTTCGGGAAGAGCCTGTAGTGAGAGACTGCGGGCAGCGTCAGTCCCTGCCCCTGGCATCCCCGATCCCTTCCCGATATCAACCAGGGCCTGCCCCAACGTGACATCACCGGCACTGCCTCTGCTTGCGCCACCACACACAGCCCGATGGCGTCACGGCCCCCCCCGTGATGTCACCGCTCCGTCCCCACAGCCTCGCTCTGCCCCGTCCCTGCTCACCTCACCCCGCCTCTGACGTCACTCCCTCCAGTGACGTCATCGCTCGATACAAACCATCACGTCGCGCGGTCCCTCCGCGATAGCCCCGCTCCTGCGCACCGCCCCAACCAATAGCAGCGCGGTCCGCCCCCGTGCTAGCCAATAGCGACGCGGTCCGCCCCCGCGCCAGCCAATAGCGGTGCGGCCCGCCCCGGCCGGGCCAGCCCTACCTGCGCCCTGCTGCAGGTCCGCGTCCCATCGCGTGCGGAACTGGAAGGTGGCGGCCACATCGCCAGTGGGCAGCGGGCTCAGCAGCAGCTCCTCCCGCAGCGCGTCCCGCCGCTCCCGGCCCGCGTCCGCCCGCCTGGGCCCGGGCCCTGCCGCTGCCAGCAGCAGCAGCAGCAGCACCGCCGCCGCCATCCCACCGCCCGCCCCGCCCCGCGCCGCGCTGCTTCCGCTTCCGCCGCGCCGGCAATGGCGGCGCTTCCGGGGGTGCCATGGAGACGCTGTGCGCGTCGGGCTGTCCCGGCCTGGCACCGGAGCCGCTGCACGGAGCGAGCACGGAGCCCCCGCGGGGAGAAGGAGAAGCGCCAGCCCGGCTGTGCCTGCGCCTGCCCCAGCTCCGGAGCGAGCGCCAGCGCTCTCACAGAACCGCGGAAAGGACCCCAGGGGTGATCGCGGTTAACTCTGGTGCTGTGAGGGGGGATCGAGCGGCTCTCCGAGCGCTCCCTCCGCCACTCTGAAATCGGGGCTGAGGGGAGGCCCTGGCGCCGTCTCATCTTGGGCGGCTCCCCCGGGGTGCCGCAGGACGCTGCGAGGACTGTCCCTGTCCCCAGGTGGCTTCCAGTCCTCAGCCGTTCCCGCCGCTCTCCCTCGCTCCTCGGCTCCTTCCCGCAGGGCAGCGCCCATCTCCGGGTGCGGAGCCGTCCGGGAGCGCCCCGCTCCCACACCCGCCTGCCCGGGGCCGCCCCCGGCGAAGGGAACGGCGGCCACAGCAGGACAGCACCGGCGGTGACGGTCCGATGGAGCTCACAGCATCTCCGTTCTCCCCGTGATGATTTGAGTGTGATGATTTGTTTCAGTAGGAAATAAGCATTTCCAGTAGGAAATAAGAAATTATAGCAACGTGTGGTTGCCACTTACCAGCTGTTGTACGTTGTTGATTACCCACTTGCCCAGATCTTAGGTCCTCATGCAAGTTAACTTGGAACTGACAATGTTCAGTATTTGTGAAGAATAAGGAGTTACTTTATATCTCTTTTCCCCCCTCTTGCTAATTAGTGGCATCACATAAAACCAGAAAGTCAGCATGCCCAGAAAAAAAAGGTAATATTTACATAATATTGTTGGTTTTGTTATTTGATTTTTTTTTTTTTTATACTGGGCAACTCATTGCAACAGGATACTGGTAGGTAATAAAAGTTTAGATGCATTTTGGAAGTGATCAGCCAAATTAAAGGTAAAAACATCCATCCAGAGCTAAGTACCCTATACCTAGGTAGAGAAGTCCCCGTGCTACAGCCTGAACAGCCATGAAGCCTGCCCCTTTTTTCTTGATCAATTCTCCAGCTTAAGGCAGCACGTGCCACACATTTCTGCTGCACTTGGCTATGGGGCACTCCAGCTGGTCCCACAAAGTGCTGGTTGACACAGGAACAGTGCAGTAATGTCTCAACATCCCTGGGGAGCAGCCAGGATGAGGAGAGCATTCCCTGCTTATCTGCCAGGCTCCTTTCCCCATGGTGACCGTGGCTGTGCTGATGCAGGGGCAGGGACAGCGCTTTCCTGGCCTGCAGCCACTGATGGTGGCAAGAGGCCTGTGCCCAGCTTGGTGCCCAGCTTTGTGCCCAAGTGGGCTGTACAGTGGCCTCATGTTGGTGGTGTTTCCTCCATCCTGTGGAGCAGCACAGGGGGAGCAGCTGCTGCTGTTCTCTGCTCAGCCCATCTGCATGGGAAGTGCCCCCTGTGCTCATGGCTGGTGGCACCCCAGCCATGCTCAGACCAGCTGTGTCTGTGCTGGCTCTCTCTGCAGAGCCTGAGTTGCTCCCCATGGTGCCCTGCAGCCCCTCTCTGCCAAGGCCTGTCTGTCCCTGCCCTGGGCACGGGAGCCAGCCCTGGGCTGGGCAACAGGAGGTTTCATTTGTTCCTGCCGAGCACACAGGCTCTGCACTGCTCTCCCTCCTGCAGTCCCCTCTGAGCCCTCAGCCCCCAATGACACACACAGCCACTGCTTGGTTAGATCAGTGTTATTTCTCTCTGTGCCATCATTAAGTGCTTGTCTGGACAGAAACTTTGTCAGTAGGGCAGGGAGAATGGGATCCCAAGGGATGGCTTTCTGGAGGTGGTGGGGCTGTGGGATGCTGAGCATGTTGGGAGGTGGGGGGTTGAAGCAGGGAGTGTTAGCAGCAAAGCCTGAAGAGTTAATTTTGGGAGCTTACAGTACCCCTTTCCTTCTCCTTTAGCTGCCAGGAGAACACGTGGAGGGAGAGGAGGGGAAAACCCTCTCTCCCCTGTGGCAGGGCAGCAGTCCAGGATGGGGTTCACTGAGCACCAGCAGCTTTTCCTTCTGGGCCGGCCAGTCCGTAGGGAGGAGGCTGGGAGCAGGGCAGAGCTGCCTGCTAGCTCCTCACCACCTGCTCTTTGGGACTGTCCTCCTGCAGGTCCTCCTCATCCGACTGCACCACGGGGGTCTCGGCCCCCTCCTCGCTGGTGTCCAGGCTGTTCAGGTCCGTGGAGGCAGAGGAGGTGGAGGAAATGCGAGATTTGCTCTCGGCTGCGTTGGGCACTTGCAGGGTGATCTCCTCTGGGCACTGGCTGGCATCTGCCCCTGGAGAGGAGAGGAGTATGAGAATGAAAAAGGCTCTTGGAGGTTTATTGCTGCCTAAGCTTCATGGATGGCCCCTCCAATCTCACTCCTTAGTGGGCTGTGCGTTCCTGACCGCTCCCCACGTGGCTGCTGCAGCCAGTCCCCACCTCACACCCCCAGCTTGGCTCAGGGCACTTGCTGCACATTCCTTCCCCGCTTTTGGCAGTGAAGCCTCTTCCATCTTGCCTGAAGCACGGCTCAGAGCCACGCTGTGTGAGGCTGTTGGCTGCAGCAGTTGTGAGGAGACCTGTGGTTTGACCTCACTACAGTGTGTGAGTGGGGAGGAATGTGCTGGCAGCCCTTGCTTTCCCTGCAGACCCCAGCCCAGCTCCCTCGGGTGGGGCTGGGAGGTGGGGAGGTTCTGCAGCCTCCCTGCTCAGCACAATGAGCTCTGCAGCATGGAGGGGACCCTGGGAGTTGTGACAAGGCACTGGCCACTCCAGAGAGTCATCAGGACAAGGGAATTTGACTCACACACTCTGGAAGGTGCCTGGGCTCTTCTGTCTTCTGCAGCACAAGGAATTTACAGGGGTCTGGATGTCTGGGCTGTGGAGGTGGATACTGATGTAGAACAGCCCAGTATGAGGTCCCTCCAACTACACAGGCCCAGCACCAATATCTGCCTTTGGGTGGGTGTGGATCTGCCCCAGGGCTGAGGAATGAGTCAGTGTGGGCACTGGGGGCAGGAAGGGCTTCCAGCCTGGCCCACAAAAGGCTTGGGACTGCACATACCTGGCAGAGACCCAGCAATGCTGCTCTCCTCTGTCCCACAGCCCAGAAACACATCCACAGTGTCCTGGTCTGACAGGTCCAGCACATCCATCTGCTCCAGCATGTCCACGTTCACCTCCATGGAGGAAATGCTGCCTAAGGGGGCTGCAGAGACAGAGACCAGTGAAAAGGTGAGTGATAGTGCCAGGCAAAGGGCACCATCAGCTCTGGGCAGGCAGGACCCTGAGGGGGGAGACCAGCTAAGGAACTGAACTTTGCTTGCTGGTAAGAGATGCCAGGAAAATCATGTTTCCTTAAAAGATCCCTCTGGAAGCCCCCTGCTGTGTCACTGCAGGCCTTGTCCCTGCTCCAAAATGCAGCTTGCCCAGAGGCAGACTCTACAAGGCACAGCCTGGTACCCATGTGCCTTCAGTGGAGGGGTGTGAGTGACCCACAGCACACCCACACACGGCCACTGTGGTCCCACCTTGGTTCAGGACATGGGTGTCCTGTTTAGGCTGGGGATGTCCCAGCAATCTCCAAGCCCTGTGTCACTGTCCCCTGTGTCACTGTCCCGTGTCACTGTCCTCTGTGTCACACCCCCAGCCCCCTGCTGGTGCCCACAGCACGTACGTCTCCGGTGCTCAATCTGCAGGTGGGACATGGGGAAGAAGAAATCCACATCGTGCTGGAAAACCTCCTCAAAGAACTTCTGTCTGTCCCGCAGCTTCAGCTGCTGCTGCTGCATCTGCTCTGCGTCCAGGTTCCGCTGGGCCTGCTCCATCTCAGCTGGGGAGAGAAAGTCAGGAGAGCTGGAGCAGGCAGGGCTGTCTGAGCCCTCCTGCCTGTCCCAGCTCACACTGCATGGCCGGTGGCTCCCTTCTGCTCTGCTTTACCAGCACACATTGATTTAGTCACCGTGGATGGATGTGACACACCAGAGCAGCAGCGTCACCAGCACTTGTTGTGCTGGAGCCTCGGATCCCTCCCTGAGGTACAGGGGAGCTCGTGTGCTGTGCTCACAGTTGCTGAAGGGAATTCTCAAGGGGGAAGGGGAGCTGGGGTGAGATCAGCCGCGGTTTGCACACTTTCAAGTTTCAGTTTCCCTGCTACCAAACAGAGGGCTGTCTGTGAATGATAACGAGCAGGGGAACTCCCAGGGTCAAGAGCTGGCCTTAGTGCTCCAGGCTTTCTGGGCCGAAGGATGTATAAGGAATGAAAGGATCTGGCAGCCGTGTCACCCCTGCCCGTGCACAGCCCTGCCTGTCACACCCCCGCCACCGCCGTCACTGTAAATGCAGCCGCGCCCACGCTCCAGGCTCACATCCCGCTCACAGCCAGCTTGGCTTCTGCCTGCACAAACATTTTCATTCCTGTAATTCCTCCAGCAGTTCACTGCCGGTGCTTGTGTCCCCAGCTCACGGGAGGGAGCGATGGGAGCCCTTGGGCTGTTTTGAAGGAGATTGTTGCTGCATTCCCTGTCTTGGTAACTTCCTTTTGGGCTGGGTACCCAAAATAGCAAGGACCCAAGTGGCACAGAGAGGCTGTGGCTGGTGGCCCCAGCTGTTCCCAGGCTGGTGTTTGACCTCAGCCATTCCACATTTCCTTCTTGCTGCACTTGGCCCAACCGGCACAAGGAAAATGTGATTATTGGAGCAGGCAGTGTAATAACCAAGGAAACCAAACAAACATCCTGTGCTCTGCCTGAGCACAACCCAAACCCTCTGCTCCTCCAGGCTGGGGAGGAGGGAACAGAGGGAGCAGCATCCCCACCCTGTCTGGCAGGAACAGGGGCAAGGAGAGCAGGGAGCTGGGTAACAGCAGCATGGAGCAGCACAGGAGCCATGCAGGAGAGAGGTGCTGAGCCTGGTGAGATGCCATGGAGATCAATGTCACATCTTCCTGAGAGCTCCTCCAGGGCTTCTCTGCATCCTGTTTCTGGGGCATCCTTCAGTGAAACCCATCATCAGCAGGTGCTGCCCCGCGGGCAGGGCTGTGCTGGCAGCACCACGTGGGGATGCACCGTGACTCAGGGCGACTCACCACGCACTCTGGAAGAGGCTCTGGTCCTCTTCTGGCTGCTCAGCCTCTTCCTGCAATGCCTGGGGCAGCAGTCCAGGCTCCCTGAAGGGCTCTTTGCCTTGGTATGTCTGACCAAAGCACTGGTGCCAAGGCTGAGTGCAGGGCCCAGGAAGGTGGTGCCAGGGAACCTTCCCTGCTGGGAAAGCCACCTCACCAGGTGGCTGCAGCCTGGTGCTGCTGGGGTACAGCAAACACCTCCAGCCTCCCCGTGCTATCTGCAGAACAGAATGAAGCCAGGGACAAGGAGGGGGTGATCAAGGCTCTGATTATGGAGCTGTCTCCCTTCAGCAGCTGGCTGTCCCAGGCAGAGCTGTGCTCCCCAGCCCAGCTGTGCTGAATCCATGGCACACTGCCGCAGTTCACCACACCGAGGGGAGCCCATCTCCAGCTGTGCAGAGGCTGGGCTGGCTCCAGGATCCAGGGTGACAGACCAGCTCTCCATGGGACATCTTCCAAAGAGACCTCAGTGTGGAGCTAAGGACCTGTGCCCAAATCCTTCTGCAGTGCAAACACAAAATAAAGCAGAAAGCTCTTGTGTGCTGTCCTGAGTGCCATGAATGCGGCCGATCCGGGCTGTAAATGCTCTCCCTGCACGTGACCGATACTCGCACTAAGTGTGCTTTGGGAGAGTGATGACGGCGGCTGGTGGCAGCATTCCTGTGGGCGCCGGGGTTTCTCTTGAGGGAGAAATTAGCAGGACCTGTTTATGAACTTGTTTTCGAGCTCTGCTCGGGGAGTTGGGCACGAGCACTGAGCTCCCATTATGTAAGGAGCTTCGGCAGCGGGAGGCAGCAGCTGGGGCTGCGCTCGGCCCTGCCTGACCCGTGACGGCGGTGGGAGCCGGGGATGGAGCCGGGGATGGAGCCGGGGATGGAGCCTGCCCCCCTCGCACGGCGCTTCCGAGCGCAGGGGAGCGCACAGCCCCGCCAGTGCGGCCGCCCCTCGGCAGCCCCGGCCGGGAATAAAGGAGCGCGGCGTTCCCTGCCGCGGCCGTGCCCATGTGACGGCCGGTCACACTCGGTGGCTGTCAGCCGCCGGGATTGTCTCATCCCGCTGGCATGTTCCCACCGCGGGACACGTTAGCGCGCACAATGCGGCCCCTGTGCGCCGTGGGGGATCTGTCGGTACCTGCTGGTGGCCTGGCTTTTATTACCATTGTCATGGTTATTGCTGGAGCCCGCTCAGGCGAGGGGCTGGGGGCTGATCGGCATTCCGAGCCAGGCTCTGCCCCGCTGGCAGAGCCTCCCAGCGCGGCTGCGGCGGCTCCGAGCGCCCCGCTGCCCTCAGATCCTTCCGGCTCTCACGGCTCATTCAGCGCCGCTCGGACAGCAAGCGGGGCCAAACACTGCTGCGGAGTTTGGGCAGGATTCCCGCGGGGATTTCCTCTCACCTGCTGCTAGGCAGATGGCCGCAGGGTGGGCTGTGGGCCAGGAGGATGGCCCCGGTGGTCCCTCTGCCCTGCTAGGGCACACCAAAGAGCCACCACCCCTCGCCTTGTGTGGGCTTGTGGCCACGCTGTGGTGGGGAAAGGCGTGGGAGGGCTGGGAGGCAAAATGCTCTGTCAGCTCTCCCACCCACACCTTCGCCAGAACAGGCTTGGGAGAGGAGCAACTTCTGGATGCACTTTGGATAGGGCAGGGGCCAGACAGGGCTGGAGAAGGCTGGGAGCGCCAGCTCAAGGTGTACTCCGACCCAGCTGCCTTTCTGCTGGGAGGGAATGCACTTTTCATCCCTCATGGCCATCGGGATCCTGGCACACCCTCTCTGTGCTGGTAAATGGGAGGGGTGTGTTTGGGTTGGGAGAAGGATTGTTAGTGAAGGCACGAGGCCAAGAGAGGATGGGAATGGCCTTTTCTTGAGGCCACAGCTCTGCAATATCTTGCAGTGGTTTCGAGGGATTTAAAGAAGGTCCTGAAAAATAATATGGGCTGTGGAAAGGAGCAGCAGGTGCTGGCGAGGTGAGCAGAGTTTAAGTGGGAGGTTACTCCAAGCATGGACAGTTCTCTGGTGAATGAAAGGGCTGGAGTAAGAGCCTTCCTGGAGCCCAAACCTACGATTCTGCTCCTTCAGAGAAGTTCAGGATGCCCCAGCTTGCCTAAATGCACCTTCCACACCCCCAGGTTTGCAAGGAGATGGGTGGGGAGCAGTGCAGCTCCTCAGCTGCCTCAGCATCTTCTGGGAGGCTGTGCAGAGATGGCAAACCTTTCCCTGCCCCCCTGCCCCAGCACAACCCCTGCAGAACAAGGATAACTCCCAAGGGCTTTCAGCTCCTTCAGCCTTGGGAGAAGCGGCTGGCGAGGAGAGCTGGGAATGCCCAGAGAATCACTCAGGGTCGGGCCACGCAGAGATGGGATGCTCAGACTCCAGCTGCCTGAGTGTTAATGCCCTGCACAGCTCTCCATCGGCACGTCTGACCTCGTGTTGCAGCACAGCAAAAAATAACCGTGGTCCTGATGAGAGGAAATGCACCGGGCGAGTGCGAGGGAGGCAGTGGTTTTGGCAGGGCTGCTCGCTGGGAAAAGCAGGGAGGGGAGGGAATGGAGAAACGGAGAGAGAGGACACGGCACCTCGTAACCCCTGTGTGTGCCGTGGTTTCATCGCCTGCACTCCTCCGAGCGATCTCCAAATCCCCTGCGTCTCAGCACTAAAAATATCCTTCCCCGCCGCCCGGAGCTCTTCCCCGGCAGAGGCTGTGTCATAAGACCCTGCTATTTGCGGGGCCCTGCTTCCTTTCACGCGAGGAGAAGCATGAGAACGGAGCAGCGCGGTGCCCGGGGCACGGCAGGCACAACCCGGGCACGGTGCCTGGCAGGCTGCTCCTCCACAAGCCCGGCTCCCCCGGCTGCCGCTCGCCACGGAGCGTGCTGTGCCCAGCATCCTCAGCCCTGCGGGCACGGGGGGATCCGCTCCTTGCGGCAGCCACGGCGCTCTGAGAGCGGCGATCCCACTCCAGAACAAACCCGCGACCCAACAGGTTCCCGAGCTCTGCCGCTTCCCAAGCAGGTGTCCCTCCAATGCCCCGCTGCCCGAGCACCCCCGTCCCGGGCACGGAGCTCCCGGCAACCCCTAAAGCAGCGGGGCCGGCAGCAGGTTGGTGCAGGAGGGGCTGGAGGCTCCGGGGACAGGTGGGGCACAGGGCTTGGCCAGGGGCATCAGGTGTGCGCTGCGGGGAGGACGGAGGGGATGTGGCACCCCAGCCCTGCCCGCCCGCCCGGTGCCCCTCTCCCATCCCGGCGAGCCCACCCCGCGGCCGGCACTTACCGGGCAGCCGCCGGCTGCGGCTCTGCGCCCCGGGCCCCGACATGCGGCTGCTGCCAGCGGAGCGGAGCGGGCCGGGCCGGGCCGGGCCGGGCGGGGGCACGGGGATCAGTGCGGGCCCCCCCGGCCGCCGCCGCTCTCCCAAGGCGCGCTGCGGGGCGGCGCTCGGCGCGGCACGGGGCGGAACCGGCGCGCCCATTGCCGCCGCACCGCGGCCGCGCCTCCCGCCCGCCCGCCGGGTCCCGCTCCGCCGCTGCCGGGGATGGGCTCTGCCGTGCACAGGGACAATCAGAAGGTCCCCGTGAAGGGCACCGATGGAGAGCAGGGTCCCTGGGTCTCTGCTTTGCGGGACACACGGGGTATCCCCACGGAGGGTCCCTGGTCCTGCAGAGGGTCCCTCCCCACCGCAGCCGTCCCAAGCAGAGTTCAGTGCTGGGCTGCAGGTGCCTGTCCCGGCAGGAGCTGTGCCCCGCTGGCGGGAGGTGGGCAGGGGGAGAGGGGGGAGGCAGGAGCTGTGCCTGGGCAGGGAGAGCAGTTACCATTCAGCATGCTCGCTTTTTCTTTGCTTATCTTCTCAAAATGCCCAGCTCACGCATTCCCGCGCAGAGAGGACAGCATCATGTATTGATGGGCCCTCCCCATGTCACTCCTGGCCTTGTGAGACCCTTATCCCCGGCAGACCCCACTCGGGGCTGCTTTCTCACACGTTCGGCCCTGCACATCAGGGCTGTTCCTTGGCAGGGCCGAGGGCTTGGCCGCCGCCTCCTTCCTGTGTCTCAGCAGGGTGAGTCAGTGCCTCGCCGTGCCCAGCGCCAGCTCTGCCCGGAGCCCGGCCAGTGCCAAGCTGGAGCGGGGGACATCCACTGTGCCCTTTGCTGGGGCTGCAAGGGAGTTTCCAGTGTCTGCGGCGTGTCCCGCCTGTCCCGTTCTCAGTGTGTTCCTCTCGCTGTCTGCATAACAAAAGATAACTATTGTTTGTGTCCCAGCTCTGTTTTGGCTACTGTTGCTTTGCTGTCCCCCCTATTTCTCCTGGGACCTCCTGCTGCCGAAAACCGGCTTTGTGTGGGTACCCGGAGCTGGCACCCCGGGGCTGGCTTCAGCTTTCACGGTGGTTTTGAATTTTGTCCACGCAAATGTTTATCCCTGTCCATAACACTCCCAGTCCTTCCTGCCTGATGTTTGCCTGTAGTTTGGGGTGCCAGCGCTGCGGTTTGGGGGGACCGGGCTGGTGTAGCACGAATGGGGGCCTGTGGTCTCTGAGCAGCGGCATGACCAGATCTCTGCCGGGTACCTGCCTTGTTCACAGCTCCGTGTGGCCGCGGGCAGCATCACCCTGTGGGCACCGTCCCTGATGCTCCCTGGCCGGCCCTGCCAGCGGAGGGGCGAGGAGGCAGCGCCGGGATTAGCTCAGGTCTCTGCTATGTGACACGTCTGTGTCTTTTGGCGGCAGGCGCTGCTGCGAGGCGTGGAGCTGTTTGTGCACTCTCGAGTTTCCGGAGCACCCCGAGGTCCCCAGAGCTCGCTGCATTCCCAGTTCCCGCTGCGGGGACGGCACATGTGGGTGCTGCCCGTGCAGAGTGACACGTCCCCAGATCCCTCGCTGTCGTGGCCCCTCCATCCTCCCTTGCCAGGAGGGCGTTGGAGAAGCACTGATATCATCGGCACCGAGCCTGACTCATCCTGGCTCTTCAGCACAAGCCGTGCCGCTCAGCGGGGCACACATTTTATTCCCATTAAACCATTGCAGGCAAGCCAGCTCTACATAATGATTTTTTTTTTTTTTTACTCCTAGCAAAGCGTGCCTGCCCCGGGCTAAGAGGTGAGAGGGGACAGAAGTGACGCGGGAGTCAGCGGAGAGTCTCCACTTCTGGTACGGAGCCCTAGGAATGATTCTTGCCAGAAACCCGCAGGGTCTGTCTCGGCTGCCGCAGCATCCCTGCCTGCCTGGTGCCTCCAGAGCGGGCTCTCAGCGCTGCCTTGTGCCAACAGCCCTTCCCCAAATGCCCCGGTCACCATCCCAGGTGGCAATGTCACCTCTCCTCCCCAGCTCCTGCCAAAAGACCCCAGGGGGGCAGCATCAAAGTGCCCCTGTCATTGTGAGAAAAATGTAAGGTGACTTGTTCCTCCTGCTTTTCCTGCTCAGGTTTTTCCCGTTTATTAGAGTTTTGGGGGGTGAGTCAGGAGCTGCGGGGTGAGGATGGAGCTGGGGAGGAATCGGCAGCTAAGGAAAGGCAAACCAGTTCCAGGCACAGGTGAATCACTTGCTGGTGAAAATACATCTTATTCTCTGGGAGGCATGCGTGGATGGGGTTGGGAGTGAGCTGCAGCTTGACTCCATCAGAAAATTGTGGAGTCAAGAAAAAAAACAAGGCAAGGCAAGGCTGCTTTTCCAGTAAATGAGGCGATACACTGCAAGGGAGCAGCCTGCAGCCGGCAAAGCTCCAGCAACCCGTGGTCCTGCGGCTCCCTTAAAAGGGGCGATTTTAGCCTGGGACAGCGGGGAGACAGAAAAGCCATAAACACCCTCAAAGGAATGTGGCTGCCGAGAAACGAGAATCTCCGCAGGCGAGGCGAGGTGGGGGGAGCCTGGATGGGGTTTGCACCAGCCCGGAGCCAGCCTGTTCCTTGGCCGTGCCCTGTCCCGAGGGAGCACCCCGTGTCACAGGGCTAACAGTCCCTGTGTGGTGCTGGGACAGGCTCCTGCCAAGCCCCGGGGGTGTCGTGTCCCCACATCCTCGGGCTCCGTGCCATACAGACATTCCTGCTTGCCAACTGCTGGCACGGGGGCAGGTAGAGGTGCTGTGGGGACAGCAGGACACCAGCCTGGGTCACAGGAGGAGCAGGCAGGGCTGGCAGAGGGTGCCTGTCCCAGAGGAATTCCCTCTTCATCATATCCCACTTCTTTACGGGCAGCTGAGCTGCTCTGCACAGGCTTTGTTTTAGCGCCATGGAGCAGCCCCGTGTGCCCTGGGGCGTTGTGCAGGTTTTTGGGAAGAGCCCTCCGGGCTGGCTTGTCCCTGCAGGTAGCTGTGGGCATGTGGGGACACCTCTGGGCCAGGCTCTCCCTGCGTGTCCCAGGCTGGTGGCAAATGGGATGTGCCTGACTGGAATGACCATGCTGCTTGATTTTCTCACAGGACTGGTGAAGATGCAGCACGTGGCACTCGTCTGTAAATAAATGTTGTAGTTTGTTGGTTTTGTTGATCTTTCATAAAGAGTCTTTGGTTTTACACGCCAGCCCTTTTTGCATTAGATTTGGGTACATGCAGTGTTTGCAGAGTTGTGGTTTCCAATTGCTCTGGGTTGCTGGGGCTGGGGGTGTCTGGGTGTGGTGGCACAGCTGCCCTGGGGGTGAGGGTACCAGGGCACAGAGGGGTCCCACTTATGAGGGTCCTGGTACCAGTCATGTTCATGGGCTGGTGCAGAGCAGTGTCCCCAAGAGCAAAGCTGTCACCAGCAAAGAAAGGGGTCTGACAGCACCTCCACAGCAATGCCACCAAAGCAGGCAGGAAACGTTCTGTTCCCCTTCCTGCTGGAGCCAAAGGGATTCCTGGAGCAAGAGCTGGGATCAAGCTAGACATGCAAAATCCCAATTCATGCCCCAGAGACCACGCAGCCTTGGGAACCGCTGAGCCAGAGTCTGGGCAGAAGGTTTTGGAGCTGTAGGTGCTGATGTTTACTCCTTTGACCCTTCAAACGCTTTGGGTTTTGCTTCCCACCCTTCACTGTGCTCTGCTGTGCTGTTCAAGAGACTCAGTGAAGAGTTCCTTGTCCTGCCCGGAATCCTGCTGCTGGCAGCGGGCACTGTCCCATGTCCCCGACTCGGTCACACCCGGAGTGGGCAGCAGAGGCTGCGGTGGGCAGGGGGTGGGGGTCTTTGGGGTGAGGATGCTGGTACGGGGTGCCGTGTTCCCGGAGGTGGGTGCAGTGTGGGCAGCGCTGGGTGCTGGCAGAGTCCCGGCCCGATGCGATGCGGGGAGGTGCGGGGCTCGGGATCCCGGGGCTGCGGGTGAGGGGCCGGGGGTGCCCCTGGACGCTCGACAGCCTCGGTCCGGCCCCTTCCTTAATTAGCCGCGGCCGGAGCCGCTCATTAGCGGCGGCTGGGGACGGGTGCCCTCCCCGTGGAGGCGGGAGGAAGGGGAGCGCTGCCGGCCCCGGCGGTGCGGGCACCCGCACGGGCACCGGAGCTGGCACCGGCAGCGGAGCGGGGCTGGAGCCCGAGCCCGGCGGAGGATGGGGCAGCGGCAGCGGCGGGGCCCGGCCGTGCTGCTCCTCGCCCTGGGTGAGGGGTGCGGGGGTCGGGGCGGGGGGACCGGGCGGTGTCCAGGGCAGGGGGGATGCGATCAGGGTTCCCTCCTTCCCTCCCTCCCTCTCTCCCTTGGTCCGGGCGGGTCCGCGCGGCTCCCCCATCGCTGTCCCCGGGCCGGGGGTGCCGGTCTCGGGATGGCAGCCCGGGCTGACCGGGCTCGGGTCGCCCCGTGCCCGCCGGGCTCTGGGCACCCCCCGACAACGCCGGGCACAGCCGGGGGGCAGCGGGGTTGGGGCTGTCCCGCGGGGAAGGGGCGCTCGCCCAGCCGGGCACCCCGGAGCGGGGGTTCCGGGCTCTGTGCCCAGGGGTCCCGGTGCTCACCTCGCCCCCGGGGCTGGCAGGGCACCTGGCCGGGCTGCTGGCAGCGGGACCCGCCTGTGCTGACGCTTACCGCGGCCTCTCGGACTGCGTGCTCAAGCTGGGGGACAGCATGGCTACGTACGAGGAGGAGGAGGGCATCGAGCTGCAGGGGCTGCACAGGGTCTGCAGGTGAGTACGGGGCATGGCCAGCCTGGCTTCTGGCAGTGCCCGTGTCTGAAAGCTCCTGCCCTCTGGGTCCCGTCGTGCATGCACACACACATGGGCTCCACACCTCACTCCAGTTTCACATTGACCCAGCGAGCTTCTTTTCTCCATCCATCCATCCATCCATCCATCCATCCATCCATCCATCCATCCATCCATCTCCTACCTGTGTCCCACCGGAGTTTGTATCCCTGGTCCTTGGCAGCAGCTCCAGCCCCAGCACTGATCCCATCAACCCCTGTATGCCTGCAGCCAGGAGGAGCGGGGCTGGAGGGACCCGACCTATTCTGCACCCCAGGAAAGTCTCCCCTGCACCCCAGGTTTCTGTCAGTGCTCTGTCCCGGTGCCCAGTGCTGCCAGGGGCAGCCCAAAAGAAGTTTTCTCCCTCCCTGTCTGGACCCTTCATCCTTCAGGCTTCGATTTGTTCCAGCCCTGGTTTGCCCGAGTTTGTAGCGGTGCCCTGAGATGATGATGTTGGCAGGATGTCAACTGTAACAGAGCTGAAGAAGAGCTGGGCAATGAGGGGTGGTGTTGGGCAGGTTTGGAGTAAGGTCTGCTTAAAAAGCAGACGAGGAGAAGCAGCAAGGTGGATGTAAAATGTTTGCAGAGATAAATGGAGGCAGCTTTGCATCTCCAGAGGAGCTGTGGGGAGTGAACGGGAGTTACAAGGAAATGCCGATAGCAATGAAGGGAAAACCCAGGTGCCTGGGGGCGGTGGAAACCTGGCAGAGCGAGGTGGAGGGCTGGGTGCCCTGGGGTCAGGCTTTCTGTGCTGCTGGAAACCACCCTGCAGGCTGGGACCTGCTCTGTGCTCCCCCTTCTGCAGGAGAAACCCGGATCGGGATGAACAGCCTCCCTGGGGCCTGCCTCTGGGTGGGCTGAAATGGGAGCTGCTCTGGTTTGGACAGAATTGGTACTTTTTGGGTTGTTTGGGTTTTTTAAAAAGGAGGCTTCTTGGTATTAGAAAACACCCAAGCAGTCAGTGTAGTCCATGCTGCTGCTGGAGGAGAGATTCCTTTGCTGAAGCTCATGTGAAACGTGTGATCTGGATTTTTCCTGCAGCCCAGAGGCACAGACCATCCCCAAAGAGGTCCTGGCATCTTCCCTGGCAGGAAGCTGATGATGTCCCAGCTTCCTGCCAGGAAATATTTCTGAATTATTTGCCTTTGACACCCAGCCTTATCCATTTCTGGAGCTGGTCCCCTCTCCAGGAGGGTGGCTGTGAGGGATGGACAGGGCACCAGGAGCTGCTCCGGGGGGCTGCTGGTGCCTCAGCTCCGTGTGCAGCCTGCCTGCCTGAGCAGATGGGGGCTGTGGAGGGTGAAAGGCTGGGAATTGCCATCCCAGCTGAGAGCAGATCCAGGCTGGAGTTGTCATTCTCCTTCACCTTCCTGAGCTTGTCTTGCCTGAAGACATGGGGCAGGTTTAACTCTTACCTGTCTGAGCTGTCTGCTGCTGCTGCAGGTTGGGAGTGAGCACTGGAGGTTGCCAGGGCTGGCACCAGCTTTTCTCATTATCTGGGGACGTTTATTCTGCCACAGTGACTCGGTTTAATGAACTCCCTCACAGCTGGCGCTCTGACGTAAGCCCCGGCTCTGAGCAAGCTGAGTGCTCAGGTTTGCCTGCCTGCACAAAGTGTCATCCCCAGCACAGGGCACAGCACAGCACCGTGCTGTCCTTTACAGGTGCACAGTGTCCCCTCCCAGCCAGCTGGACTGCATCCCCCTCCTGACAGGCGACATGTGTGCCTGGTGTGTTGGCAGACAGGGCAAGGTGTCAGAGCTATTGCTGCTGTCCTGCAGACTCCTGTTTACAGCTTGCAGGGAGCTGGGCATGGTGCCAGCCCCAGCCCATGTGGGACAGGACAGCAGAGCAGCTCCTGCTTTATTCCTGCAGGACCACGGGTTGTCTTTGCCTGTTTTCTCTTTTCCTTCTAGTAGTCTCCAAAAGCCTCTTTGCACTGAACAGCTTCTACTTGTGAAAGTAATACCCAGCAGATAAATGGAGATGATTCTAATGAGAACACAGTGACTAACTCCTGCTGCCCCTGCCCGTACCTCAGGAAAGCTGAGACAGCCTGTGCGAGCTCTTGTCCTTCTCCCTGCTTTGTGCTCCCATCTGCCCTTGACTCTGCTTGGAGAAAGTGATGAATGAGATGTGCTGGGCCTTTGTTTGCAGCCTGTGTGAGATACTCAGGGAAACATTTGTTGATGGAAAATAATGGATTTTATTGACTTCCAGAGAAAAGGGAGGGGGGAATAAAAGGAATAAATAATTTCAGTGCTTTGAGATTTGGAGTTTTAGCCAAGATGCTCTGGGAGATGATGGAGGGGATGAATAGTCTGGGAGGCTTGCACAAAACACAAGGGCTGTTGCTGCTCAGAGGGCAGGCTCAGGGCAGCAAGGCTCTGCCTGGCATCCAGCACCGTGGCAGTGCAAAGGGACTGACAGTGTGGTGTCTCCTGGCTGCAGGTATTGGGATGAATTCCACACCTGTGCCCTGACAGTGCTCTGGGAGTGCCAGAAGGAAGCAGCAGCTGTCTGGGAGACGCTGAGAAGGGAGTCCAGAAAAACCAAATTTCAAGGCAGCTTGTTTGACCTGTGCAGCCCCAGCATGGCCCAGAGCTCTGCCTGGACCCACGTTCCCAACATTTCCATGCTCAGCATCCCTCTCATCGTCACTTGGCTGAACTTATGAACTGCAGCTCTGTGAGTACCCCAGCAGAAGTGGTGGCAGGGTGTGGCGTGGCACCTTTCTGATGTGTTTTCCAAACCTTGGAGGAATACACTGTGTGGAGCTCAGAAACTCCCAGCTCCATCCTGCACCTGTGAGACATGGAAGAGCTTGGCAGCATCTCCAGGGTGTTGAAATTCCTCTGTAATTCGGAGTAACTCCTCTCTCTCACCCTTCTGCCTGAAGGCACAGGCACAGATCTGGCTGTCGGGAGATTTGGGAACTTGTAAATACAGGGCACAGGATTTGGGGAGAAATGATAAATTCTGGAAAAAGGATGAATGCTGGATACTTCTGCACTCTTATGGCAACTGGAAGGAAACCTGTTCACTTTGCTGACTCTTTCCACCAGATCAACTCTCCAGGGTTTTGATTTGGACACTCAAAACAAGATGGGTATTCTTCCCACTGCTCCATGAGGTGCAGGGGATGGTGTCTGTCCTGTCACAGGCTGAAGGGAGACCTTACTGCCCTGTGCTGGCCTTCCTTCTTTGAGGACATGGTAAAACCCCTGCTGAACAACAATCACAGTTGCATGACTTCTCTTTGGACACATCTGAATTCCTGAGTAACTTCTGTGTCATGTGTAAATCCCTTTTCTATGGACAGAGGTGAAAAATATTTGGGGGGAGAGGGAGTATCAAGCTAGGAGGGAAAAAGGGATTTATAGCAACTCCTCTGCTTTAAAGCTTTCCCCAAGGTACCTGTAAGCAGCTGTGGGTAGAAGTGTGTAATTCCAGAGTATTAAAGTTTGTTGTAGAGCCAACAGCGTGGCAGAAGTTATTTGTCCTTGCTCTTGCTCAACAGCACAGTCTCCTCTTGTCTCCTTTGTGGCTCAGAGTGTTGTCAGTTTTGCAGCTTCAGTACAAGCATGGAAGCATTTGGAACAGAGAGGTGTTTGCAAGTGATTTCTGAATATGTTGGAGAAACATAGAAATATTATTGGTTAGCCCAAGGCAGCCTGTATTCTAAGGATGCTGATGGATCTCTGTGACCTGCCATGGGGTGTGTGCTCAGTGTGAGCAGGGAAACCAGAGCCCTGCTAACTCCACAGATCCCACCAGATGCGTTCCAGGCATTGGGCAAGCTTCTGGAGCACAGGATCTTAGTCCTAACAGTGCTGCTGGGTCATGCTGCTTTCCTCTGGCATTCACGTGTTCTTCCTCTTACCTTCACCATCCCTCAACACTCTGCTCCTGCAGCAGCAGCAGGAGACAATGAAGAAATTGGAGCAAATTCCAAGAAATAAGCCAGAGCAGCTGGTGTTCAGACAGCACTTCAGTGCACAAGTTGTTACTTATGTATTCAGTACTCAGCATCTGGGGCACAAAGCCTTGGGGTGAGCAGTGGAGAAAGGGTAAATCAGAACATTGTAAAACCTGGAGTGAACCACTCAGATGCTTCATTTTTCTCTTTGTACTCCAAGCCAACAGCACTGTTTGCTGTTTCATCCTGTTCCCCTTTCCCTGTTAACTTCAGTGGCTGGGGAAAGCTGAGGCAGGGGAGGGTGATGTACAACCAAGACTGGAGTATTTTGGCTCCAAATCCTGCTCTTTGTTTAGAACAACTGTTTAATGCCATTAGGAAAAGAAATAAGCACAGCCCCCTAAAATCCCACAACCCTTGCCTTGTCTTTGAATTTGGCAATTCCTCTCTTAAAATTTTCTACGTTGAAACAGCTTTGGGAAAAGGGAATGTAAAAGAATCAGATTGGCAAGAAATCTTTCTGCAAAACCATGGATGCAAATGGCTGACTGCCACTGTCTCTGAGAAGAACAGGTCTTGGGACATATCTTCCCTGGAAGCAAATCCCTCAACTATTGCACACAAAAAAACCCCCAAAGATTCATTAAGAAACAAAGACCATCTGCCACTGTTCTGGTATGGAGCAGATTTTTTTTTTGTAAGCCAAAGGTGCTTCTAAATCTGACTGAAAGCATGTGAGAGAAAACTAGGTCTCACAGTATGGGAGTGATGAGTTTCCTCAATCAGTATTTCAATTTTAGCAGAACTTCCTCTATGACTAGGACAATTAAAGTAGAAGTCCTTAGGAAAAAAAAAGGAATACACAGGTTCATTTTTCCTGGGCAGTCAGCAGCCTTTCAGAAAGATTTCTGATCCTACAGCACACTTCATGCTGGTGTAGTGCAGCTCCTGGGATGTCCTGCAGCCTCAGTGTTAAAGCCCCATTTATCAAGGGTTCTTCTCATGGCCTTGCTGTGAGTTTCTCCAGATACAAAGCTGTCCCCAGATCTCCCCTCCAGGGGAGCTGCTGAAGCTGTCACAGCATATCTCATGTATTCAAAAAGAAATGGGTTAAGTGTTCTTTAGTCCAAAGTCTTCACCTTTGTTCCTGCAGGGGAACAAAGGTGGCAGCTCTGATAATACAGACCCACAGCAACCCTGGGAGCAGCTGGAAGAACGTGGCTTTGTCTCCTTGCTCTCAAATTCACTGTAATTAATCCCCAGCTCCTGCTTGCCTCAAGAACAGCCCTGAACACAGCAGTTCACACGAGGCTTTGGTGGGATATGAAGCCTTGAAGTGAACCTGCAAGCTTTCCCTGTCCCTGCAGGACTGGGATGTTCTTTCTCAAGAATAGCACCACGAAGCAGCAGAGGACAAAATGACCCTGCAGGAGTTTTAAAACACGACGACTAACAGCACGGCAGTGCTCGTCACCCCGAGGCAGCACTGCCCTCTGCTCCTCACCCTGATCCCAACACAGCACTCCCTGCTCCTTTCTGAGGGACATACTGGCACCTACTGGAGACCAGTTTACATCCAGCCTGAGGTGACTGGGACAAAGGCAAGTATGCTTGTATGTGAAAAATGAGATTTTTAGAAGGGATGGACTGTCTTGGTGCAGGGGCAGCCCTAGGAAGTGACCTTTGGGTGGCCCTCCAGGCTGGCTCCTGCCCAGAGAAACACTTGTGTAAACTCTTCCCTCTGAAAGCTGCTGCTGTTTGAAACTCTGCTTACAGGGGCTCTGGTCAGCATGGGCTCCTGGTGAAATCCACCAGTATAAAAAGTGCTGGTTACACTTGTTTAGACAGAAATCTTCCTTTGGAGACCTGCTGAGCATGTAAAGCAGCAGGATGCCATCCTGCTCTATTACAGTGTCTGAGTGTGAGAGCAGGGATTGAAATACAGCTCAGCTGCCCAAGAGCAGCTTCAGAGAGTTTATCAGTCTCACATCATCCCACCACTTTTCAACAAATTGAATTAGCAAACAATTTCTGCAAATTAAAACTTACAAATATTAACATACAAAGGGAAGTTACTGCAGCAAGATGCTCCACAGGAGAAAAATCTGTCTCTAGACCTGGCTTTGCCCTTGTTTGGGGTTCCACATGGCCATCCCTCAGTGGAAACCAGGCAGGATGTGGGGCTGCTTGCTTGGGCTGCTGGATCTGGAAGAATCGCCCAGCTCTGGACCCTCAGCAGTAAGGGGATGTCCCTGCCTGGTGAAGTTTATTTGAAGGATCTCTAAATACTCAAGAAATCACAACAGTCTCTTACTTAACATCACCTCTACCTGGCAAGACCTGTTGCTGGACTGCTGAAGCCTGATGGGAAAGCCCATCCAAGGAAGAGCATCATAGCTCCAGGACACTTCTGCAGGTTTCCCCAGGGCAGCTCCAGGCTCAGGCTGCACATGTGGAGATCCTGGACTGCTGACACTCCCCCTGAAGTGGGGCTATGCCAGCTGACTTCCCCAGACAGCACTCAGTGATGCCTTCCCTCCAGAGCAGAGGTATGAAATGTTTATTGTAGGAAGTTTTATGTGCCCCAGACAGTGGGCACCTGACAGCCAAGTGTTCTCTGGCTGCATCCTCCTGTTGCCATGATACAGACACTCTGGTATTTCTTCAAGTGCTCAGCTTCCCAGGAGAGCCGTAACACTCACAGCAACATTATATTTTTATTATTACAAAAGATTTCTTCAGCAAACTGCTGTCTGTCACCTCTGTGTATCAAACATGGAAACAGCAAACAAACCCATCTAACGTTACAGGTTATTATTTAGTGTCTCAGCTGGTGATTCAGGTAAGTACAACTGTTTTCTTTCTCCCCATCCATTCACTTCCTTGACTCTTTTCCCAAGCAAAGCCCAAAGAAGTCACAGATTGGAAGCAGCAGCTCCCAGCCCCACTGCTCAGCGTGGCAGCTCCAGCAAGAAGAGCTGACCACTGTGTTACCCATCAGGGCACTCCCACATTGTTAAATTCCAAATGCTCCTCACGCACCGAGTTTTGCTACCTGGCCTTGAACAATCTCACGAGTGAAGAGCTGAAGGGCACACTCTCCATCCAGTCCATATTAATACTTTGTGTTAACAAAATAAACTTCTGCTCCTCCCCTGCTGTCAGCCGATGCCAGAGGAGATGCTCACACTCATGCAGTCACCGAGGTCCAAAGGAAAAAAAAAAAAACCCAAAACCATAAAGTCTGAACAGACCTGCTGTGCTTCTTGAGGGATGATTCTGAGGCATTGGATGCATTGTGCTGGGAACAATGACAAAACGCAGCGCGGTTGCCAGCGGCAGTCTATACGTTGGATTTGGGGGCGGAGTTGAGAGGGATCTCCCGCAGCTCTATTCTCATGCACAGGTACTCGCCGATGGCCGCCATCAGCGCCGTGCACACGATGTGCACCAGCCACCACGTCAGCGTCGAGGGGAAACGCGAGTTGTAGATCCAGCAGCCCAGCAGGTGGAAGAAGTGAACGGTGACGGTGAAATCCAGGCACTGCTTCCCTCGGCGGATGAAGTACAGCAAGCCCAGAGCGCTGCAAAGCAAAGGCCAGGGATTAATGAACTCCACCAGACCTGTGGAAAAGGTGCTGCAGCAAGAGCTGTCAGCAGTTCTCACTGCTGATTTTGCAGTGGGTTTAAAACTTCTTCAAATATTTTAAGAGTAGGTTGTTTCTGACCTCTCTCCTGGCTGCTGCAGCAAGACTTGCAGGCTTACAGCTTTTAATTATGTGATGGTAGGAAAATTAGATTTTAGTGCAGAGAACAGGCAGGAATTTATACACTGTCTCCTAATACATTAGTGTTTGCTGAAATCCATTAATTCTAACTTTTAGTAAAATCTCCCATGAAAGCACATCTCATTCCCAGCTGGGAAACTGAGACAGAGAAGTGAAATGACTTTTCAGGTTCTAGAAAGCCAAGAGTCAACAGTTCCCAGCTGCCCTCGGCAGACACGCTTAAGAAGGCACAGGGATTTTGGGAGATGTTTGGAGAGAGGCAGTACAGCA